ATAGTACTTGCATTAGAAGGGTCTACAGCAAGCTGCCAAGTGTGGAATCAGAAGTCTGAAACTTGGTGTACATATATAATTTATACAGTGCTGTAATCTGCTGTACAAGAATACCTGTGAATATTTAACATTAATATTGTACATAAATGAAATGTTCAATTTTGCACTTAAATGCTTCCGTCTTGGCACTCTTCTTTATACAATCTGCATGGTTTATTGGTGACTTTTCACTTGAAAAATTAACTGTTCTAGTTTAAAACATTATTATAATTATTTCCTAAAGTAGATTGTCATCGACATATGTATACAATGTGTGGAGTTTGTATAAAATAAAAAGGGTAGATAAAAAAAACGTTCCAAAAAAAGTAATTTGCATGGAAAATACCACATTTTTCTGTGGAAAGCAATAGGAAGCATGAAGTCGACGACTTCTGAGAGGCGGTACAGCAAACTGCTCTCGTGCGACGTGGCAAATTTACAATAAGCCATATAAACCATCGTAACGTTCATTTTCTCATTACTCAAATTATCTTGAAGCGACGTGAGCAAATTTCGGGCTAAAATTTATACACATTTTAAAAAGGCTAAAAAATCCTCGCCGCGCATTTCTATCACAGTTGACGGCGCTTGGCACAAACCCGTCATTTGGCACCGCGTTCCCACGCGGCAAGGGGTAGAGAGGAGAATCGACGGAAGACACGGTGCCGTGCTGATGTCTAACGGAGAACGGTTCCTCGTACAGTATGTACTGCCTTAAAACGTTAACATTCACCTACCCAAGTACATATTATTATTATTATGATTTTAATTACGAAACATATCAAATGAGAGCGACTAATTTGATATTTATTTTGGTAAGGCGTTGTCACGTGTTCAAAAAAAGAAGTATCCGCAGATGAATGTGCAGATTTCCTTGCCCACTGCATCACAGGTTGATCAATTCCAGGGTTCAATGTAAAGTATTGTTTAAAGCCATATAAACCTTTCAGTGCACCTCCAATGAGTTCCCTCCACATTTTGTGTGCTTGTAAATATCTCTCTCTCTCTCCATACAAACCCTATACGTACAACCTTTTTGTAAGATAAATACCCTTGTCGTTATATATACACACACACTCACACACCATTTTTAATGTGACAGGGTAAATACAATACAATTCTGTTTAATTGTACCGTAGCAAATCGTTTTACATTCAAATAGGTAAAGAGGGCTAAATATTTAGTAGGAGATTATGCTTTTCCATTTTTCCATACACGGTGTTAGATAGTAGCCATTGTGTTATTTATTTCTTTGCAGTTAACACACATACTATGTGCATGCATTTTTACCTTCTACATTTTTGTAGCAAAATAATATAAATTATCGCATTTACCTTAACAATAGTTTGCAGTTCGTAGAGCTACATGTGCTTTGTTTTGTATGGCTGCAACCGAATGGCCCCACAACTCTCTTGAGGTCACTTCGTCACTCAAGTCCCGCGGTGTGGGATTTTGGGCGTCATTTCATGGAGGTTTATGGTGCAAGGGATGCATTTCCACACACGCCACATTCGAAGCCATCAGGTGTAAAATACTGCGTGTGAAACATTCCTTGCTTAGCGTTCGCCAGTGATCTTTTTTCAACGGAAGGCGTGTATAATATATAACTATATCAACAAGTTAGAAGTTTACACTAATTAACGCATTGCTCATTCATCATTTTACTTCTTTTCACTGCCGGTTTGAAGATTTTCATCCATCGTGTCTACACATGGCAATATTATAACCGAAGCTATAAAACCTACAAATCTAACAAATCCTTTCCGATAATAAAACTGGGTTCGTGGTCGTGTGGTTTTAGCCAATATCACAAGTTAGTATGTGGAAGATGGAGTCAATATTTAGGTGTGACACGGTTTTTATAATAAGAGTAATGTTTTATTATTAATCAACATCTGCAATGTGCTCAAGATCCCTTGTTGTTTAACCTACATGTATTAAAATTTGACCACATTTACTTGAAACTGCTTATTTTGACCGAATAAATTTCATGAATTTAAAATCAACGCTGAGCTTCTGCTTGATTTTTCCAACGCGTGCTGCTGCTGCAGAATTAAAGAGTGCGTGGCAGAGCGCAGCGGTGGTTAGCACGCTGTGCCACTGCACCCGGCAGCCCGGGTTTGACTCCCAGCCATGGTCTATAGGCAGGGGTCAGCATCTCAAAATAACAAGAAGAGCTATTTTTTTTTCTGTGGAATTCGGTAAAATATAACTCAATATTTTCAAAAGCCACAATGCACATGAATAACGTCACGAAGCAGTCCATAAAAAGCCTCATGCAGCTCTGGAGCTGCATGTTAGCCGACCCCTGGGCTGAAGTGTCTCCATAACATCAGTGGCGAGTGATATATGAACCAATTCTGGACCCCTAACCCTTCACAAACCCTCACCGATGGTTATGGTGAAGTATGTAATTGAGATTATTTTAATCCAGCGTTGAAATGCCTGAAGGCTGTAAATTATGAGTACCAGTATCACTCGTAAAGGAACTATTTCTGTAGTTGAGTGCTTTTGACAGACATTTGGATTACTGTATTAATTTAAACTTTCTAATCTGCTTTATTCTGAACCCTTTAATCCAATATCCTGTGAAATGCATCGCTACTTGACAATTCTTCATTATTTATTCAGTGGCTGTGTTAAATAATTTTGTGCTAATAACCACGACTTTCTTTGCCTAATTAATGATCCTCAAGAAAATGAAGCCAAGCATTTCTGCGATTACAACAACAAAACCTAGAAATGCCTAAAAGTGCACAACGTGTAATGGGTGCTGGACTTCACAAGTTACGCTCGTTTAATAGGACAAATGCATCAGCAGACGCTACTCAAAAGTGATTATTTTAGTGTAAGCTGCAATGGCAGTGGCGGCTGGTGGTAACGAGGTTTTTATAAAATATTAAATTCATTTTTTGGTGATGACATTGGAACGGGTGTGGGGTGAGGGAGACAGAAATAGAAAGATGTACATTAGAGAATACACGCACATCAAAGGCATCGTTTCAACCGTTGATAAAAGTGCGTCGTTCTGTGCGCGTACAGCTTCCTGGCGGCTCGATCCCACTCATCACTACACATTGATGAGATGAGAAACTGGGGTCATTAAACGATGGATCCGACGAGACCAGATCCTTGGTGGCAATTCCTACAATCGCTTTTACCCGACAGGGGATGGGAGAGTGCCTGGAAGCTCACCAAATCAACCGTCGCCTCTCTCTCCTTTTAGCCCAATCATTTGGGCAAACACACCCCTGAAGGTTGGCATTTAAAGGATTAATCTGACACCAATGGATGGAGGCGGAAGTGCGAACGGTCGAGGGGCTTACTTGACCCTGATCTGCGGCCACATTCAAAATGTAAACGCCAAGTATGACATCGCCAGCCATGAGGTTGTTGTTTTCAAAGATATATATTTTACATGAAGGCATGCGATCTTTTCTCCCTCCCCCAGAATCCAGTTGTCAGAACCCACGCGCTTTTTAAAAAAAAACTTAATTCTTCAATAAATCACGAGTCATTCATAAGCCCTTACTTGAAAGCAACGGTAATCCTAGAGCGCAGAAATTATCCTCTGCTATCCTCGCCTCCTGACGGAGCGCTGCCGGCAGATGACGAGGGCTAGAGAGAGGAGTCTCCCCTCGAAGGGATATCATGTCCCCTTTGTCGCAATTTTTGTTCTTCAAATTTCGAATGCGCACGTGCGGAGCTTGGCAAGAAGCAGGCGTGGCAATGGACGCCCGCCGTGCGAGATGCTCCACCCTCACTGAATCCGAGGATGTCCCCAATTTTCCCGTCGGAGATTATTCGGTGCCGCTGCGACTGGCAATAAGATAAAGTCAACACATTGGTCAATACCACCGTGGCCTTAAAATGAAAGTATGTATTAATGTGGCTTGTTTACTTACAGTATTGTAATTCCCCTTAAGGCGGTGTTATTGGCGAATGCGTTTATCGATTTCGTTATCTTTGGAATATCGCTCTCCTTTGCCGCAGAAACCTGTCTCCTAAACCTCGTAAGGGGTTGATTAATTGACTAAAGCTCAGAACAGTCTACGTCATTCGCGAAATCAGTCCGGTATTGTGGTTCATTTGTGGCAAGCACTTTGTGTGGATAAAAAATAAAACGTAATCTCCCTCCCGTGTCAATCATGGCGGTTATTTGACCCTACTTCACCACAGGCCGACTATGTATATATATATTTTAAAATAAAACTTGAAAGAGCACCAAACACTGGGTCTTGGCAATTGGTCGCGGCTTATAATGATGCCTCTGTGGTGTCACCTGTAGTGTGTGTCAGGTAAACGTGTCAGGGCGGTGGTGTCACCTGTAGTGTCTATGGCAGCATATAGTACGGGGTAGACCCGCGTGATGTAAGGGAAAAAAGTTTAGCTGGAAGCATATTATATTTTTTGCGACATAGAATTGTAATGTATTACTTACTGTTAGTAGCTCAGCTTATTGGAGAGTATATTTAGTATACTGATGATACTATGTAGTTTATACTTTAGTTTTTTACGTGGTTGTTTAGTTACTGCAGCTACATACTATTAACATTCCTTCCCTTCATTAATGCTACCCCTATCCCCTCCCTTTAATGCTGCTAATCCTGCATGATGCACGGGCATAATGACTTTGAAACCCCCCGCCCACCTCCTACACATTTCACAAGCAGTACTAATCACATACCTGCATTTCCCATAAATATGCTAACACGTCAGATGATCTCTCACGTCCAATGCGAAGCAGAGACCTCGTGTTATTACGGATATTACTCCCGCAGTATTAACCAGGGTAAGCCGCTGGAGCTGCACCGTGAAACCTCGACAACAAGCGGGGGAAATTCGGAACCGCTAGGCCATGGCACCAACCAATCAAGTCGCGACATATCAAAAACCACTCAATTCCAGAAGCGTTATCCACAGCGTCTTCTTTTATTACGAAGTTTCGTTTAATAAAAAAAAGCGCTTGGAGACGCGCATTCGTTTTTTTTCCTCATCCACCAGAGACCCTTCTCGTGTCAGTCCACAGCGTGCACCCTCATACACCTGTGCCGTCGCAACAAAAAAAGGTGGCAAGTACACACTTACAGTAAAAGTTATGATCAGCATCGCGTAAAGCAATTGTGAGCAGCAACCTTCCCAGCGTCAGTCTTCATCATCATCATAAAAATTCAGTGCCCAAAAAAACCTTTAAAAAAATAGAGAGAAAAAGTTGCAATAAAGGACGCAGATGTTTGGGTTGGCGGGTGGCGCCGCACTCCAGCCAATCTCGGCAGCGACTTGTGCCGTGGAGAAGCCTCTAGCCGAGGTCACACAAGTCGTGCCGGGGTGGGCGGACGGCCTCCTCCTGCCACGTCGGCGCATGGCCCTCGGGCTGACGTGCGTAGCAGCCCCCCCGGGGCACCGTCCACGCGCGCGACACCGCAGACAACTCAAACCCCCCCCCCCCCGCCGACGCCGTCGCGAAGACTCCGACGGCGGAGACGTCGGCGCGCTTCTTGGAATATCTTCTCGGCCGGAGATGCATTGCGGGCTGCCTCCCAGGGTCAACGTCTCACCGCCGCAGGTTTGAACACCGCGGCGTAACGGTGCACAAAAACTAAAAAAGGAATGCGTTTGAGAGGTTCGCAGTGCCGCGCGCTTGCTGGAGGATTCTGTAACGAAGACGTGCGGCGCACTCCGGAACCCCGCTTGCATTGATTCCGTTAGCAAAATTTGTTTTTAATTGCACAGTTCGATGCACACAACAAACGTGTCGTTATTATTAATTTAAATAATGTAAAAAAAAGTAATAACTGAACGTGGAGGTGCGTTTTACATATGACTCAACCACAAAAGTATGAAGACAATTCGTTGATTACAAAACTGTGATTGACATTCAGGCTAAATGTGCATTACGCGCCAAGATCACTTGCATGACATACATACACCTCCAAAAGCAGTGAAAAAGGATGCCTGTAAGATGCAGTACAGAAAGTAGGCATCTCAACCGAGGATATATTGAGTGTTCTTCTCTTGTGTCGGTTATATCTCGGAAACCCAGTTTCCTCCCTCATTAAACAATACATGTTATAGAAATAAATTATAAAAGACAATTTAAGCAGGACTCGTGAAAAAAAAGTCTTTGGACTCGACAATGCTTTCTTGGGTCAACACATTACGACATTACGATTATCTGTTATCCTGTAAACTGCAATCCCAACATCTGCTGACTTTGGGAGCCACATTTCCATAACTCCATCATTGCGTAAGTCCTCTCTATAGACGTCAAGAAAGCTATATCGAACAATAGGGTTACAAATTAAGCGATTGTAAATTCAACATATAATACAAGTTTTTATAAGACAGTAATAATAATGTACAGCCTCTCTACACTCTGTGGAAAGGCCGTGTGGTTTACTGACCATACTTCACAAAGTGCGAGTTCACAAAGGGGAGGCCCCAGAACTTGTTCAGATATCGTTCGTCATTGGCGTTAACCTTGGCTGGGAATTGAACTTTGTCACTGGCTTCATGAGGCACTGCACCACAGCTTCCCCCAGTCACTCGTTATAGTTCTAAAAACCAGAGAAAAGAGAAAGTGTCCTCCAAGCAGAGAAAGCCTCGCTATGACGAGACTTTTTTCCAGGAGGTGTTCTGCATTACGATGTTTGGTCAATTCCTCTTTTTAATAATGAGTGGTTTGCGTGTAGGAGGAAGGCCAGGAGAAAACCCGCACGCATGATGGGATAACACGATAAAATCAACACAGATTGGGCATGGCACCATTTGTACTCCCTCCCATTTCTTGGCCACAGCGTGTGAGTAAACGTGCATTAGCTATTATTGCACTGGTTTACAAGTGTGCGAGCCAATGCACGGGAGGATGTGGAGTTGAGTGGACTTGCCGACGACTGGTACCAGCGGTGTCAAGATCGGTCTCTATGGAGGAGGCTCGTGAAGGCTGCTACTGGGCAGTTGGAGGCAGTCGCCCTCCAGCAACAATGGAGGGCGGAGAAGCGATGCTCACAACAATGAGCAGAGCGCCGGGTGGATAAAATACAGCACAAGTTGGCACAGTAGGGGATACAGCTGGTGCATCTACGAGTCATCTCAGTCAGCCAACCCATGGCACCTGGGTCTGTCCCGAGACCTCCTGTCAACGAGCCTTTGACACTTCCCGTGGCCTCAAAGTGCACCTGGCCTGGCACACGCACCGTGGTGACGTCACCATCACTTAGTGGCGAATGGCGGGTATTGGTATTGGTGCCAAAGCACTCGGCCAGTTGCAAATGGGATTTTAAATTACTGAACATAAGTGCGCTTTACAAAACTGCTTTTAGCCAAATTAGTTTAATCACCGTAGAGGGGCATTTTACAAAAAGACACGTTAAATCAAGTTTTTGCCCCTTAAATATTTTCCCTTAAAAGATTTTCTCAGACGGCCACAACATACATGATGCCTCCGCATATCGTTGACAGACGCATACATGATATGACAATAAATCAACAGACAGGGCCTATTTGGAAGTGTCAACGTGTCTCTCCAGTCATAAATGAATTGTCCATTGCCGACTGCATCAGATGAATTGAGCAAAGCGGCGCGGCTTGAATTACAGCCGATTTCTGACTGCATCCCGCCAGTTGGGGGGTTTACACCCCTCCCAATTGCCAACACTGAATGTGTAGAGTTGGACGAGGGGGGGGGGGGGATGTAGAACGGGCCACAAAAGCAGCTGATATTTTACGGCAACTAATTTTAAACGAGACAGCCGACGAGAAGGGATTCGCTGAATTAGGGGAAGAGGCCGTGTACGAGTGAAAACTGAGATGACTATAAAACTAAGATACGAACAAATATATTCAAACACCGTTGGCGTAATGGCCATTGTTCCACCGAATAAGACGAGTAAAATCATTTAAAAATATAGCGGCACCGTCGTCATTGCATACCCCCATGTATTTTTTACACGTCACACGGTGTGAGAAAAGCTCGTGCGTTTCTTTGTCAGGAAAGTCCACAGGTTGTAGAACATGGCACAGTTGATCTTGTCCGAATTTTTGCTGTAGAAATTAGGAAAATCCCCAACACTACCACCGCTCCCGCGAATACGTAGCTGCAAAAACAAAAAGCATCGTTTAAAATGTTTCACAACGGCGTCTGATTCAAACATGGAACAGGCACAGCGATTACTACAAAAACGGTCATTTATTGCCTGCATATGCGTTTAACTAGTTAACATAAACTAGGGACGATGCATGTGAACGAATAACTGTGAGCAGACTCGGGCCACTTTTAATTAACTTTAGAATCACTCTTCCAAAAGATCACCCTAAACAAAGGGTTATTCAAAAGCTGATGTCATATTTGGACAAACCACCCTGTAAAATATCCAAATCTTTCGTGAGCGTAGATTAAAAAAAAAAAGTCACAATGTTTACCCAGATCGCACTGACATAGTTTACAGACTTATTAAAAGTTTACAGCATTTAACTTGTAGAAATCACCACCACAGTTTTCGTGCATGCAGTGAACAAGAATTCCCTTGCATCACAAACAATTATGGCTGTAAAGCTTCACAGCTGATGACTCGGTTCCAAATGTTTTTGGCAGCAAAGACGTCAATGTTTTTGGCAGCAAGACGTCAATGTTTTTCTACTATATCAACTCTTGTTCATGTTCAGGGTCCGAGCGCTGTAAAGCGTGAAATAAATCGTCGTGCGTTTTCATTACAGACTTCCAAACATGCAACGCAATCGCACTCCCCAAATATATGGTGCGGCTTTTCGTAGGCGCCAATGTTCGGTCGCGTAGGTATAATGTAATTTAAAAAACTATGACCCTCCACCATCTGCCAAAGCCAATCAGATCAGATGAAATTATCACGTCGTGAGAAAATATGCAGCTGATTTGGGTTTTCAGCTAACCGGAATTTTTGTTGAAAAGCAGGCATAATTTTATAATGTGACACGATGAATTACTGTAGATTACATCCAGCATCATCAGCTGTTAACAAAAGCTCGGCTCTCTCTTGCTTGAAAGAGCTTCTTGATTCTCATCCTTAAGTAGGTGATATGACATCATCAGGACAGCCACCACAGGTGAACCGGTTTAATAATAAGAGTTGATTTCTTGTTATTGGTTGTGATTGGCAGATTAGATTTATTGTAATAAGATTAATCTAGTGAGTGGTTGGTGAAAATAGGCCTTTAATAAAATTAACGTTTCCTACGTTAGGTAAATAAATAAAATGACGTTTCGGGCGCAACACACGCGTCCGTCATCACGTGGGAAAGCAATAAAAAGTATGAATCCTTGCAGTCACGAAAGCTTCAAATCTAGAATTTCCTACGTTAGTTAGAGAGCTGGAGTTTACACGGTATTGTGATTCTCATCCAGCGTTAATTGGTTCATATGGTTAATTAAATTAGCATTTTTGGGATTTGCACTGAGGAAATTAGCAATACGAGTTGACTGTAAATTTGACATTAGTGTATATCTATGCAATCCAACGCAAATTAACCAATTACGAATCGGACGCATGGGACATCACTTGCCATTTATGGTTTCTCACTTTCCGTCCCATTTCTGTTCGTCCACTCACAGAGAAATCGTGACAAATACCCTCACCTTGCTTCTATCGATAACACTGCATTGTGATCTGTTTCTTTGTCTGTAAATTCATCACTAATCAATGGCCAAATATCGTCAAATCCATACCTTTGTTAAACATTAGCACAGACGCAAGTCTGCCCAAAGTTCAGCAAACTCCGGTCATCCTCGCAGCGGCTTTTGGCTACCATCGAAGACGGCCACTGCATCGCGCGGCGCTTTCAGATGCACTTCCACGGCCGTCTGGAACGCTTTTTTTTCCGATATTGGGAAGCCACTGGAGTTATGCACTTTTAAATCTAAGTTGAAAGCAATTTCTTTAGAACTGTTTTGTGTGTTTAGTTTGATGTCCTTCACCCGCACCTCTGATATGCACGGGTGGCTATGTATGTCGCAAAAGACGTTCAACATACACACAATGCGAACACCGCTGAGCTCAAGTGCGATACTGCATGCATGTATAGATAAAGAAATAAAAATTTACCAAACATATTTGTGTATATGTTACATGTATAAATTAATGCATGGGCAAGATCCCTTTGCAATTCTCCTTGTAGTTGCTTTATCTGCCTTCATTCTGAGTGTTCGGCTTCAAATTTAAATTCATAAATACAGTAGATAAGGGATAACCGTGCTATTTAATACTAATGTTAAATCGTATATCTGTTCAGCTGTACGTAAGTAAATGTCACTTACTGTATAGTGAAGGGTTTTGAGAAAAACATGAAGGACAGCACAATTGTCATGGTCTTTCTCCCAGTTGTAACTGCAACAAAATACAAAAATATATCTCACGTGAAAGAGTCACCAACTGTTTATAGAATACCACTCTGATGGTGAGCAGTCCTGACACCTTGGGTCGATTTGCTCAAAAAAACGTTCATCGGGTCGAATGATAAGCATGCAATGAGGATTACGAATAGCATCAACGCTTCAAGCCGACGTGACTTCAGCAGATTAATGAGCACATAAAAGGTGCACTGCTATTTGTGGCCTGACTCATGCAAATGATAGGTTACTCGACTCCATTTACTCATAACGTTATCTGCAGGATATGTAACAGGCAAGAAAAAATGCACTTTGTTCTCAATAAGGTTTTTGCCAAAGAGACTTTTAACTTTTATTGGGATGAAACCAGAGCACTCGGATAAATCTTTCCAACACAAGGGGATGGGGGGGGGTAACATATTTTCTTCAAACCCAATCCACTGAATTATCTGTGGAATGAACCAAGTGCTGTACTTCTATCACGTGGCCACCATGCAGCCCTGTGTCTAAACCACCTGGACATGCAATGGATCACTCATCCGAGTAGCAACCAGCCGTAAAAAAACCCTGCTTAGCTTCTGAGATGCATTGAGGGTGATTTGATTTTGTTAAACTGGGTGAAAACTCAAGAGGCCAGGATAGTCTCACTTGCAAGAATCACCCGGGACACCAACATGGCAAAAATGAATAAAACAATATACAGCAAGAGATAATAAAACGATATCAGAGCAGAACAACCACGCTACAGGAGACATCAAAATGACAGCACAAATGTGCATTAATATGAAATAAAAGAGCAATTCCTCTAACATAAGCTGGCTCAGTTAAATGGATTAAAACATTCATAATATAATTATGTTATATTTGGTTATAAACTCAACAACAAAGTGTTACGGGATTGTGGTATATATTTTTGGCTTCCAGAACTTAAATGTTTTGCTGTCAGTTAAACCACAAGAGTGGAGGAAATTATCGGTTGGAGTTTCCATGAGAGAGCAGACTAGGACTTCACATTATCGTATGACCCAGTAGATAATACCAAAAACCTACGGTACTACATTCCTGCAGGCATTTTTCTAGTCCCCATTTATCCGAAACAAGTCTTCTATTAACTTAAAGAATGATTGGAAATGTATCACGGTGATACCACACATTTAAACAGCCTACAAAAATGTAACATTTTGCAGCTGTGATGGAATAACTTAGGCATGTGATAATTAATAAGCACATTGCTTAAAATAGACCATTACGCTCATAATACATTCATTGAGCCGCACGTGTTGTATTTGATTGGTTCAAGTAAACCTTGCAGCCGATATAGATTTCCAAGTGCACCACCATTCATCAAGCTGTCAGGCTGGGGGATCATTACATACCTCGTGTATTCATTAGGCCTACATGGCCAAATCACTCGGAATGCGTCCGATATCGTCAGATCTGGGCACCTAAGCAGGACTGAGAGCCCGTATAGTGCTTGGTTAAGTGACCACAGTGGGTAAAAGGTTGTTATGGCTGCTGCTGCTACTGGGTGATGTATTGAACAGAGGGCAATGTAGGAGAGAATCCATTATTGCACTGTACTTGTGCTCACTGCCTTCACCAACCCGCACTGACCAACGTGTTGAAGTATAGCCAAATGACTCGCATGGTACGAGCAGGCCCTCTCCCAGCAGTGGGATTGACAAAAGGGCTGTTCGTACGTGCACGTGCATTCGTTAAGATACCACGCCGAGATCGCAAGACCATTGAACTGAAGATCGTCGTCAAATCAATGTCGCTGAACCTTATTGGAACACTGGATCTCAGTGGTGCAGGTGGCTCAATAAAATTCTGCCGCAGAATTTCGGACCGCTCAGTCACTCAAAGCAACAGTGCATAAATGGCAAGACTAACAAATGTTAGCTGATAAAAGAAGAGTCATTTGCAGAGGATTTAAGCTTTTTTTTCTGTAGAAAAATATGAATCGTTTCCACGATCATCATTAACTTTAAAATTGTATTCATATTGTACAATATATATTTTTTATCATTATTCAAAAACCGTCAAAATAATTACTTGAGAAGGCATATCAATAGGTTTTTACCCTTTCAACAGGTACAAAAACTGACACCTTTATACAAGGCATCATGTTTGCGATAACCACAACACAAGCAGTCAAAATACAAACAAAAAGAAACAACTCTGATAATGATATGCACTGTCCTTGAAAGGCGTACGTGTTATCTGGTCCAACACCAATGGAAACTAGGCTCTAAGAAAAGCTGTCTCGGGTGTGGACCAATCAACTTCAAGGACAGTGCATATCATTATCATTATCAGAGTTGTTTCTTTTTGTTTGCATTTTTGGCTGCTTGTGTTGTGGTTATTGCAAACATGATGCCTTGTATAAAGATGTTAGTTTTTGTACCAGTTGATAGGGTAAAAACCTATTACTATATTTTGCCACTGGTAAAGGAGATGTCTCAGTGTTAAGGCATATCAAACAACGTCTTCGACTGGATTGAAGCTCTATATGGGCTGGGTTTTTCCACTGACGCTGAAATAGAAATGCACCTCCCATGAGCACGGTTGGCTACTGGCAGGACGAAAGAAGCTCAACATACGTATGTGCATCACGCTCCACGTGAAGTATAAAGCGGAGCGCAAACACCCGCTCTCGTTGTAGCCTAACAAAGACGAACGGGTTCGACCGTTCACTTCTAGAAACTTCTCTAATGGCCTAACACACAAGCTTTGTGCATTAAATAAGTAATAACTTTATTTTATATCCCTGCATTTCACATTTTTGGGAATTTTCAAGTGATGCTGTGATGTGGAATTGGGCTGAATGTATTGGGGGAAATAAAAGTACATTTAAAATGCTTTGTTACTTTCAGTGGGGTTTTTTTGTTTCTTAAACTTAAAATGCATTTTTTTTGACGTGCTTGTGTTTTTTTAATGTTGTTACTCGGGTGCAATGTGTTATTTTTTAAAACAATTGGATATATATACGTGTACTACAGCAAAGCATAATGTTACGTGACAAAAAAATAAAGTTTAAGGAAACGCTATAAACAAAGTAGTAGCTACCCTGCAACAAAACATAAAATGTCATTCCACAAGACAGGAGATAAATATAAGTTTCATTACCTGTGACTGCTACAAGTGCTCCAAACAGTTTAATCAAAGCCAGTACGAATGAAATTCCCAAGTACCCACTGATAGAGAAGATCAGTGCGTAGCCATATGTCTGAAACGGATGCTGAAACAAACGAAAACGTTAATTCCATGAAAGATAAATATTGCATGATATGCAATAAAGAAGAGCAACTATAGGAACAGCATTCGAACAGTCATCCCTGAACGATGTTCAGGTAACACGATATCACAATCAGCCATGTGTAGGATTTTACACAAAACAGTGGGCGGTGATGTGGCCAAGCGATAGCACGTTTTCCGCTTGATGCAGAGGTTTGCAGTTCGTGGACTGGGAGTCAAAATTTTTTATTTCTGTGTGATCTATCAACCCGAGCTTTTAGACTGTTAGATCACAGGCCTGTGCCGCTTTGTTGATGGAAAAAAAATTCCATTCCGAGAATGCGCCTTCTGCTTATCACCACCAAATTAACAACTTTTTTGCATTCATTAACTGACACTAACTGTGTGAATTTGCTGTAATATTCTCTATAACGCATCAAATTGGGGTGATGATTTATAATGCTGTTTTGAACTTCAATACTTAAATTTTTTTGTGAACATGAAAGTACAAGCAATGTTTTGATTTAAAGCTTTCGTGACTGCAGGGATTCATATTCTTGGTTCTTTCGGTAAAGTCACATAGAAGGGAAATAATAAAATAATAGAAATAATTTGAACATTTTCTTGCTGTGGTTTTCACACCTGATGATGATTGCTTGTGTTGCAATCATAACGTCGTGAGAATTTGATTGTTTCATTTTTATTATTTTATTATTTCCCTTCTACGTGACTTTACCAAAAGAACCAAGAATACAAGCAATGTTCTTTAAGAAATTAATTAGCGCCGAGTCATTTGTTGTGACGCTTGAGTCATGGGCATCGGACTTCACCAACTAGCTATTGGTCAGCTTTATCCTCACACTCTCACAAAGAGCCCCAAAAAATTGGTTGGAGAAAATATTAAGTCATTTTATTCGGATTCAGTGCCCTTCAAAACCTTTGATGAAAGTCTGTAAAACCCTTTGGTTCAAACATGTCTCTAAGTAAGGTATACTCTCGATTATCCTTGCTAATGAAGGGGATGGCTGCAGATAATTCAAAATCATGGATAATCCAAAAGTATCCATTTTCTGCGCATCTCTATGCCAAAAAACACTATTATACGATCGACCGATCGATGTGCGTGCTCAGTGAAAACCTTTCCTGCTCCCGTGCAGAGGACTCCGTCCAGGAGGTGGTAAATTATAGCCAGGAAAAATGTTATACTAATGCACTACATATACATTATTTATATATATATCTTTAAACAAGAGTGCAAATGGATGTGTGTACATTCTCTATCAAGCCAAGATGAATTGTAAACGTGCACTAATTTTCGAGTTTACCTGGTAACAAAATGTAAAGGCTGTACTGAAGCTTCCTGATAGTCCGATTCCAAAAAACAGATACACAAATCCGATGGAATAGGAGTAGAGTACCTGTAAAACACAAAGTGCGACACAAGCTTGTAAGCGTACACTTTCATCAATTACAATAGTTTGCGGTAGTTAACCAGGAACCTAATTTAAGTGTTGGAAAAAGCCAGCGTTACACATTGTGAATTCACACCACACAATATTTAAAATGCACGACGACACAGCGGCATAGCCTCTATCAACATGGTCATCTCCAACCGTGCTCAGAGGCGGCATCTGAGCGCAGACTTAATCTCTCATGCTAAGTCTCCTGCAGAGCTGCACGTGACTTCGCGAATTTAAAAAAATGTTTTACCCGTTTGTAGGCGATTCATCGTCTAGGGAATGCACCCACACTTGCATGTCATGTCAAATACGCGAGATGCATAGCGGCTGGGACGTATTGTTCGGCTCATATCCGTCAATTAAATATGTGACGGAGATAAAGCACACAAGTCCCTCTGCTCAGGCAGCATCGTCTCCCGAGCACGGGGCAGAGTTCCTCTTTGTTTGCATCCTTTATTTAGCCACAGTAATACTGCACATCGCGTACACCACATGATGAATACCACATCCTGGAAGCGAACACATCAACCCACCTCCCACCCCCACCCCCGTGGCTTCATATATACCGGCTCAAAACGATCGATTGGTATAATCCAAAAATGAACCGGTCTCACCAGTCTTCTTTTCTGCGACAACCCCCTGTTCCACATTATCAGACGCGAGAAATTAAACTGAGAATATTCACCATTTCCGAGTTGGAGCTACTAAACTCTTTCATGGCTTTCTCTTGCACATTGCCAATCGCTGCGTCAGCACAGAGTGCAAGCAGTATCAATGCAACACCTGTAAAGAAGGGAAAACAGAATTAATCAGGAACCGACACGTTTTGAAATATATTCAATAACGGCAGCAACGGCGTTAAACAATTAGTGCCGATTGTGTTATGATAACCGACAACAATCATTATCTTACACTAATGAAGTCAATTCATTCAAAGCATTGATTTGAATTGAGAAATTATATGACACCGCAGCAACATTATCGACATCTTAATTTATGTTGGTAGGTTTAACAGAACGGTGAAAATGTTATCGTATTACATAATGAAACATGGGCAAAGCATATTAATTCACATCACATTACCAAGTTTATAAAACAACTACATTTTACCATCACGGGTGACTTACAACTTGTGTAACAGTTGTCTTAACAATGTGGATGATGGTATTAAAACAAAAATGCTCACTTCAACTAAGTGCTTTTCCTGCCAACAGCAACACGAACAGAGTAAAGTTTGCATGCAGAGCTATTCAGGCATTACAAATGACCCGTTACTGGGGAATTTTGATTAAAAGGTTTATGCTAGATCTAATTATCCGGCTGGGTGGCACTGTGATATAGTGCGCGCATTAAAATACTCTTCAGAGCCTAGCATCGCGGTTCCCAGGGAAGTGTGCTTGGGTGCAGGCATGATCTCACACTTAATAGCGTGGGCTTCGTCTCCTGTTCTGCCACAGGCACAACACACGGGAGCCAGGTCGCCACCCTTACGCAAGCGAAGCCTCGGCCGTTACTTGCTCATCAACCGTTTTGTTGCGCAGCAGTCACTGCCAAAAATGATCGGATGCCATTCAACGAACTGGGGTGGAGCGGTGGCGCTGCAGTTAACGCATCACACTATGAAACCGACGACCCGAGTTCGATTTCCAGACACAACTGCACCGTCCTGGACACTCTCTCTTCGCCAACCTGCACTGACCATCGTGGTAAAGTATGGTCAAACTGCTATGAATGACGTGGCCTGGGGCAGTCTTTCATCCAGTCGTGGAATGGTAAAGAGCTGGGAATTTTCTATTGTTGAATTTAAGATCCTGTGGCAATTATCTGCACCTCGTGATGTCATGCAGCATATACTGTACAAGGTATCCATTCAGGTATCATACTTGTTGATAAATAAACAGCTGATTGGACTGAGTCGATACAACTACCCACACTGACACTTGGTAGTTAAACATTTTTTAATCCTGCGAGTCTCTATTCTGTGAATCAGGATTTGAAAGGGTCACAGGTGTTTTCCAACGTCGGGTGTCACCGTTTCAATGTTTATGTTATGTGCTGTTACATGAACACTCAAGTCTTTCAGTTTTTCTTTTGGAATTCACTTTTACCTTTCGCACAAACTGGGCCACACGTGAACGTATGACTCGGTTGCTTTAAAAAAATGTTTCCCCTCTCGTAGCCGATTAGTGGCGCCAAGACGCTCGCAGTGACGGATGAGAAAAAATTCTCGTTTGCGCACCTAGGCCTCACCACAGAGGTCGCAACCGGGTACCCGGCCAGGTACGGGTACGGGTACCCGGCCAGGTACGGGTACGGGTACCCGTTTGCGACCCTGGTGCGGCCGGGTACAGGTACGGGTAAGGAATCAAAACCCGTTTGCGACCTCTGCCTCACCATGGCCACGGGCCGCATGAAAATAATTCCCGAGGGCATGTGAATCCCACGTGCCCTGAGGCGCAGCATCGGCGAGCCTTACCCGTTATGTTGAAGTTGGGGACGACTTTGCTGTCTGCGAGGGTGAACCATATGAGGCCCAGGCTCATACAGATCACCGCACACACATCCACCAGGGTGTACCTCTTCCCTGGATAAGAGGATTTAACGTTTCCGTTGTCACCGATTCGGTCCAAATTTCAGATTTAATTACTTTAAACGCACATTCAAGTTACTGTTTCATCATACAATGTTTAAAAAAATGCTATAAATAACGGGTTAAACAAAGGGATGTTTTAATTACATTACGGAGTGGAAGATTTCAACATTTTGGCTGACAGGCCTTCTTTGAGAAATGTACGCAGTTCAGCACTGTATTTTTACTTGACCTTTCATTTATTAAGCATATTCCCAAAAGCGACATTTTGAAACACGTTTAAGGGACACTTCCATGTGATAAGAGAATGTGTTTAAACAGTTTTTCAAGTTTTGATGCAGCAAAGATAATGTAATGCAACAGAATCTCTGTAATTTTCAAATGTTATTCAGAATGGGAAAGAAAACGTGGCAAATTATGAGATTACCTTGGATAAGCACACCTCCAATCATGACTGGAACAAGTTTACAGCACTTAAATATCACTTGTGTTGGGTAATTCAGGTAACCAAGAGATGTGTTTGACAGTCCCATTGTCGCGACAGTCAAAAAGGCAATCAGGAAATAGGTCCGTAGAGGAATCCTGCAATGTGGAACAACGACGGGCAAGAGAATTTGTTTATACAGATAACAAATAGTTAAAAATTACAATAGCTAATTACAGTCCAGTAGAACGCCAATAATCACTCCTTGAAAAATTTGCCTTGCTACGAAAAATTGCAATTCCGTGAGATTGTGAATTTTTGGAGGGCGTCTAAAAACATTGAGCAAAAAAATGCATGGATTATATCGGCAAATCCCTCTGCAAAATTCACGAGATACCGCACCAAAAGTTATTATTTTTCAAATATGGTGGGGCTCCTTGAATAGCAATAATAATATACAATTTACAGGTGTAACGCGCACATATTTCACGCAACGATGAACTGTTCAATCGAGAACTCAGAAGCACAGAGCCAGAGCTCAAAGTTCCTGCCTGAACAGGTGAGAGCCTTGAGCTCCTCATTGAAAATGATGGTGATTAGATGCCGCGCTTGCGCAGTGGGAGAGAGTTCCAAACGGCCGCTAGTGCGGCTACGGAGAAACGCCGTTGGTCGCCGATTACAGGATCCGCAAAAGCGCGTCCCCATAACACCACGGATTTTTGGAGTTCTACGGCATTACAAAAAAGTACTTCGAAGTTGTAATTAGTTGTGGAAAATACTTGCAAGAAAATAAAAATGCATCAGACATATCATGCCAACAATGCGTTGTGTAAACACTTCACACTGCTACATTACCAAAGCTGTTACAGACACTAACATACACCTATAATAGGAAAGTACAAACACTTTAATAACACCAGCAAAGACACACAAGTAAATACCACACATGCATCATCATATTTTATAAAATGACAACGCAATTACAGTACATTACAAATTGGAATGTTGAAGCTTTTTCTAATAATATTATAAATACTGCCGCATTATTATTACTAATATTTGCAAGCAAGGGAGAGATAACGGTTGGGCTGGAGGAAAGTGGCTTTATGTATCGGCATTTAAATAACGATGATGAGAACAGAGGGGGCCTATTGTTCAAGAGCAAGAGGTCACAACAGCCTGCGTTATTTTAATGCCACCACGCTTCCCCCATTGCTGCCTTCATTCGTCACGGAATTTTAAAATGCATCTTCAACATTTTTTTTATCATGGTTAAAATTTCAAGTGAGAACAATGTATTCACAAGAGCCAACGGTTTCACAAAAAGATTCAAAATTCATTCGTAATTTTATGGTGGAAATTTGACGATTAAACTGAAGCTGAAATGTATAATTCTTGGCACTAAAAGCATAAGCAAATGTTTGTTTTTTGACTCCTGGTTTTACTTAAAAAAACGAAAACATTCATTATACTTTACCTCCTCTGTTTATTGCTTTTTATTTTCAGCTCGACAAGACCAAACAGCGAGTAGTAAGCAAACTGCACAAGGGTCAGGTACCAGCCAAAGGGCTTGAAGCCCTCCACAGAGAAGATGAGTTCCTGCGAAAAAAAACAACAAAGGATGAAACATCATCCATGTGCATGGAGTCTTCAATGCTTTCCATCGTGCGTTTGTCCTCAAAATTACATACTTTGGGAGAGAAAATAACCAGGCTAACGACATTGTTCACGCTGTTAAGAAAAGTAATTTGACTTGGGAAGGACGCATCGCTGGAATGGATGATGAACAATAAGTCGAGATTTATCGCCAAGTGGTAGCCGAGGTAGGGAGAGTTCACCACGGAGATAGAATTATGAAATTAGCTCGTATGCAGGCGTTTGGATGAAAGGTGGCATCGCAGCAGTATGAGAGATGGTGACGGCTTGAGGGAGGCCATCATCCATCAGCGGATTGATAATGGCCGATGATAAAATGTAGGACAATACAATTTCAGACGAAGTGATTTGTTCGTAGAAGTCTTTATACTAGGGTTCAGATAATGATTGCAGTGGCAGGTGCAGTAATAAATTCCAGGAAATAAAATTGCATAACCTGTGTTTTATAGCATGCTTAATAAACACAACTGACAAAGCAGACACAAGAGTGGCAATGAGGTTTTTGTTTTTCCTCAAATAACTGCCATGCATACTGTTTTCATATCCATACGGATGCATAAACATGAGGAATAGCCTGGGAAATGAAGCACTGAAGCTTTTGAGCAAGAATGGACAGTGAGGATGAACAAGTAGCTATACCTTTACACTAAAATATCAAGAAAAAGACTGTGGGAGACCAGTGTAATGCTAGAGGAATGCACTTGCGTAGAAAATTAAACACAAACTGCAGCGCTTATAATGAGGTCCACAGTGGCATAAGGCGTGCAAGTTTGGTGGTTGACGCAAGTTGAGCCCTCTGAGGCGTGCAGTCAAAGCAGCCATAAATCAAGCAGAGATGGAGAATATGGCACTACCAATGAAGGCTCTCAAAGGATTGTTCACAATTGCACACATGGAGGCGGAAGGTTAACACTCGCAGGGCTGTAAAGAGGGAAATTAAAGGCAAGTCTGATTGACATGCAGGCGATTCATCCCCTACGAGGACTTCTCAAATTGTAACAAAATTAGATCCGCAAGAGACAAGCACGGAAGAATGAGATTTTAGCGGAGATCACAGGAGAATGCTGCAGACTTGCAATCAAAAACATCCCTTTCCAACCACTGACATTTCAATAACGTTTGGGTCTTGTTAAAATCGTGAAACGTGGTTTCAATTGTAAGTAAAATAAAAAAAAAGTGGAGTTTACTTGTAGCCTGTCTACTGGACAATGTCCACTTTCAACTGCTGATCCTTGCAAAATTAAGACTGGCTGGGCAATGGAGGCAGCGAGAAAGTGCAAATCCTGTGTACAAATTCCAAAATTAGGAAAATTCAACTAGTTATAAAACACCAAAATCCACATGTCTATCCATATATATTAGATGGTACACATGTTAGTATTTTCAGTGGCTTTTCTTTTTCAAATTCAACATATTTGAATTCACACTGGCATACAATGGAGCGGAGCGATGGCAAAGTGGCAGGAATACCGCGCTTTGAACCCAGCCCCCTCCTGAGTTCAATTCTCGGCCATGGCTAGAATCCGTGATGAGTCGTATTTGGACCACTCACCACCCCTCACCAGACCACACTGACCAGCGTGGTGAAGTATGGTCAAACAACCTCCATAACCATGGCATGGAGAAGCCTTCATCCAGCACCAGCAGTTGACTGACAAAGAGGCTGAACATTTTTATCATGCACTACACAATGGATGTGAAGCAGAAGTTTGGTGCTGGATACAACCACATTTGCAAATGTGATTTGCAACTTTGATCCTTACCTGTGTGTCGATAGTTAATTTGAACGTGCAATTTTATTGAGGGACTACTGTGCGTTGTCTTGGTGTGGTCTGGGACTGTTTTTGTTGTCCAAGCTTCCATTTAGTGTTGAAATATCAGCAGGAATGTATGTACTTATGCAATATATACTTATATGCTTCATACATTTTTCATAACTTGCTTACCTTTTCTATATTTTGCACTCTTTTTTTTTAGTTTGTTGTAACTTGCTGACCCATCCCAACTGGACATCTAGAATTAAAGAGCTTCATAGCTCATCGGATTCCTCCAGTCTAAATAAAGATTGCGATTGTGATAAATATATACTACAAACGGAGGTCACAAGATCATGTTCCACATCAGGCCGTGCACTGTGAATGCATACACTGTATAGGGGAGCGTTTCGCGTGCTGTGCTACAAACCCGGCGACCAAAGCTCAATTCCCATTCGCGGCCAGCACCAGTGACGATTATCCAAACTGCTCCTGGGCCTCCCATAGGTCGACTCAGCTTCAAATTAGTACTAGGTGCGGTTTTTAAACATCGCCACCTTGGAGACGTGTCTACATGTGCTTCACCACGATCCCGTACCTGAAGGTAACCATAGATGAGGTAGAAGACGAAGACTCCTCCCAAGCAGATGAGGAACTGCACGCTGCGTGAAAATTTCCCCAGGTTCAAACCCAGCACGTACAGCTCCTCCGTCGTTCGTATGTGCGGAGAGATCACTTCTTGCTTCGTCGAGATGTTAATGCTCACGAACTTCCTTGTGTTCGGCTCCATTGTGGGTGTTACTTTAAACGCGTCTTCAGCACTTGTGTCCTCAGCGTCATGCTGTGGTTTACTCTCCTGCAACGTAGAAAAAAGAAGCGCATTCACACAACGTTAGTTCGTTTTTAGTCACAACTAATCAGTTACCTTATTCATAACAAGCAAAGGGAGCAAGGTTCTATACTTTTGGAACGAGGCCAGGTCAAAAAAGCCTCTATAATAGCTTTGGGGTAATAAGAACAATTGTTAAGGACCTATCATGTAATGATATTTCAATCAGTAAGAGGCTTGTAAAATAATAATATTCGTAATTTAGATTTTTTTAAATTAAATTGTCAGATGTTGCAAAGTGATCGAACATGACGACAGTGCCCTTACACAACCGCACATTAGAAGAGCAGCAATTGGCTATTCGTTTGTCCCCTGAGGGTGGAAGGACAAAATACCTTCAAAATCGTTAAGACTCCACGAATCATGGCAACATTTTACACATTGGTAGAACGACTGCATTGAGACAATAATGCATCACAACCAAGTAAACATATTTTTTATGAGGCCAAAAAAATGGTAAATCCTGTAAAATGTATTGTCTTTGTTTACATTTTTAGCACAAATTGGACACACACATTTGGAAAATTTCACTTGTTGTGGATTACTTAATTAACTGCTCCTGTGCTGGCACCTAACGATGGTACTGCGTTCCCAACACGAGCGATGTTGGCCGGAGTTTAGGAATGATATGGCCTAAAACCTCCGTTATTCATCACAGGCCTGCTCACGTACTGATTGGAGCCGTTCCACCTATTTGTAAATGTGGCCATGATTCCTACAGTCAGCAGCCATATTGCAGCTTCATTCTTTACGTTACTCTTCTAATGTACAGCTTCAAAGGGCCAAAAAAATCAACGGCTAACCTTTTTTAATGTGTTTATTATGCAATGGCACTCTTACCTTTTAACACCTAATACCAGTAAAATGTATTTACAAATATAGTAGAGACTCAAATTGTTAAAATCAGAGCATAATGCGACCATCATCGCAGCCAGCTCCATGTGTTATACTTTATCATGCAATGAGCGGCAATGGAGAGCAGGTTAGTAGTTAGGGGCCATCCATTTAGTAGGTACGCAAAAATCTGTCAAAACTTGACCTCTCCCTCCCTCCCTGTACGCACGCGGACTTTTTACCCCCCCCCCCCCCGCGTATTCACGCTTGACGCCACCCCAAAATCCTATAGAACGGCCAAAATTTTATCCACGCAGAAACGATCAAGGATTAATAATATTAACGTGTTTAAGCAACCAGATAGTCCACCGCCGGCTGCATTAAATAATTAAGTTGCGTACCTTTAAAAAGTGTGTCAAGTCCGCTAGGTTCAAACGCCGACTGAACCCAGTCGAACAGGTGACGTATTAAAGGGATTTTGTCCACACGCGCAGTGTCAGGCTGAAGCAACAGCAGCGTTAGCTGCAGAATGCTGGGTGGCTGACGTCCTCATTATCATCATCATCCAGCTTTTGATTGTTCTCACTGTCAGAAGACTCAGGAGTGTGAATGCGTTGGTGTTGTTTAACAGTGGCCTGCAGCAGCTAAAATCATGAGCCAGCGGCAGTCTGCAGTGAGGCCAGATTGAAGGATGTGTAATCATCCCTGCGGCAGGCCGACAGACTATGTCAGACTCACTGCTGAGCTGCGTGATAGCTGCAGTCAGGGCTACGTACGGTGGCATACAAGTGACGTCCTACTTCGCCCGGTAGTACCTATCTGACAGCTGAATAAACTGAACTGTGGCTCATTTGAAGGCCAATGTAGACAAATTATTATCGAGGCTTCACCCCCCTCCCCCCATTTCCTATGCGTACGCACATTGTCAGTAGACCCCCCATATGCAAGGGTACGCATTTGGGTTAACTCCCCCTCCATGCGTACGCACTAAATGGATGGCCACTTATGCTGGCATGCATGCTGCGCTGTTGATCACAGTTGATATTGCCATTGCGAGCTGGGCTTCCAGAAAGTTAACTGAAATAAAAAATGTATGATTTAGATTTTAAAAATACATTTGTTTCTCAAGAAAGCATGATGTCTACCAGACACGCTCATCAAATATGAATTAAAATATTCCACTCGTTTTTCACGACACTTGTCTATACAAATGTTAAAAAATGTAAAACACCACCGCGAACATCTCATGTTTGCCACTTAATTAATCAAAATAAACAAGGTTGGATTACGATGCATATCGCTCAAAATCAAGGTATTTTTTAAAATTCACATTAATGTATAAATGTCATATTTTCTCTGAAGACCGCAGATCTCATACGGTGGCACTCACCTCATCACCAGCAATACATAATTGATGTGTATCAATAATGAAGTTAATTTACGTCAATAATGAAGTTAATTTACGTAAATAATGTGCATGTGTGAAGTTTTATTTAATGTATATGGTTTTGAGCTGTTCCATATTGCAGCAAGTGTGTGTAATGGGAGTGTGGAGTGATATGAGGAAGCAGATTCTCTCATCCGTAACACCGTTTCCCTGCTTTCTTACAAAATAAATCAGTTCTCCTGCATCAGTATTTATGGGTCAGAGCAGAAACTGGTATCACGAGATAGCTATCAGCATGGTGAGGTATGGTCAAATAACCCCCATGACCCACATGGCATGGCAAGGCCATCATGCAGCAGCTGAATGACAAAAGGGCTGTACGTGTGTGTATCCTTTGAAGGGGTTATCAAACATTAACTTTTATTGGCCATAGAAAATTTTATTTTTACCACTAAAACGTGCCAATTTTAGGTGGATCTACCATGGTTGACACTGTGGCTTGCCATGAAATTCTGACCGAGGAAGGGGAGGGTTAGCAAGAAGTTAAACTGCCAATATGGTGAAGCAAAGTTCCCATTACGTTCATGTTACAGAGCGGTCGTGAGAGTCAAAGGCCAAATTGACATTTAGACCATGGAAGGATATACAATACAGTGGAACAATAGATTGTGCTGCACTGCCTTCTGCTGCCCACAATTTAGCCTCTTCAGTGGGCGTCACTTCCAAACATCATCTCTGGCCACTGTCCTCCAGAAAACACGCAACACTGCTTCGTGTCACATCAGGGTGCGCAGAAAGCCGAACGATCTGCTGCAGGCCCTCGTCTACACATGCAGTGATTTACGTTTTGTCCGCTCGGATGCATCTCCTGCAGTCACATCAATCAGCTGCTTTAGTGCGGATGGGGCAGATCGAAGAGCGATTGACATGTCTGAGTGATGGTCAAGTCTTTGATTATTTAAAAGACACTGGAATTCCATTGACATTGGTTCCATTACATTTCCAGTAATGTCGACTTCATGCTATGGGCAACACGCACATCATTTAAATCTGTTGGGTTTTTTTTCAATTGCATCGGGCAGCCCAAGACGCATAGCGTATTACAGTATTTACAAGACTGTTTTTGATTGTAGCTTTCTTTATGGCCGAGTTAACCTAGGGGAAGCCCCGGGAAGGTTCAGGTACTATCTGCAAGTGATGTTAGCCGTGGCCAGGACTCAAACACAAATCGGCCGGTTCAGTTCCGTGCGAAAACGACACCTCCAATACACACTCACACACACGCACACCTCCATAGGTAATGACAACATTACCCGACACATCTACTTTAGACTGCTGGGTCTATTGCTGTTGGCGAGCACCTATTAAGGTAAGCCTACGGTACACACAAGCAGATGGTGCGGCCAACATCGTGCCCGCTTCTACCCATGGGAGACACTCTTTGACGACTGCTGGGTCAACGCTTCAGGGCCGGGTGTTGGTTGAGAGTAATGAAATGCAACGAAGAAAAGGCCACAAATATTGCCTAGGCTCGTGATAACAGCTATAGTCCGACCCAACCGCTGGCCTTGGAGAAATGCTTCATTGATTGATTGCTGCTCTCTGGATGCAGAGGGGCAGGATGTTAGCAGTCGTTCCCGGGCCAACGAGCCCACTGGTGGTGGTTGGACACAAACACAAGTCAGGCAGACGCACACAGTCACCCACATCGACTCGGAGAGAGACGACAAACACACACATACACACACAGCGAGAGACAAACACACATACACACACACAACACTGCCAACGAGATTCACACACACACACGACACATTACCACGTACACCTGTGCACGCACAGACTCAATCGCATACAAAGACACACACTGCCATGCATATACACACACACACCTATCACAATACTTATGATCACTCACAAACATACAAACTCCTCCTTATAGCCTCCATACATACCACACACACACACACTGCCACGTATACACGCACACGCCAACACGAGAGGGGGGGGCCTACCACGCCAAACGAAGCCACCGTTCGACGGGAACTTCTCTCACGCGCACGGAGACCTCAGTGGGCTGCAGCCGCGACAACGTTGGACACTCACAGAGACACACGGACAATGCTGACAAAACCACAGCGATAGCAAATGCATCTCTCCCATGTCCCATCTCCCACCTCTACGGCTCCGGCGGCGGTGGCGGCTTTAGCTTCCTCCTCAGCGGCTGCCGTGGCTCTGGACAACGAAAGCGGAGCGCCCTGTGCGACACTGAGCACACGACGGGGGGTGGGCAGAGCCGCTATTTGTCGGGCTCAATGTGACACGGGCCAGCTACACAAGTGAGAGACAACGCGTGCGTGCGTGCGTGCGTGTGTGGAGCTACAGTACCGGCAACTTGACTGCTACTGTAATGACACACGGACGCAGGGGGGGCCCGGAACGAAAATTGGCCCCGGAACGAGAATTGAGACACCTCGGGCCCCGGAACGAGAATTGAGACACTTGGGGGCCCGGAACAAGAATTGAGACACGCGGGCCCCGGAACGAGAATTGAAACACTTGGGGCCCCGGAACGAGAATCGAGACACTTGGGGCACCGAAACGAGCATTGAGACACTTGGGGCCCCGGAACGAGAATTGGTACACTTTGGGGGCCCGGAACGAGAATTGAGACACGGGGCCCCGGAACGAGAATTGAGACACTTGGGGGCCCGGAACAAGAATTGAGACACTTGGGGCCCCGGGACGAGCATTGAGACACGCGGGGCCTCAGAACGTGAATTGATACACGCGGGGCCCCGGAACGAGAATCGAGACGCTTGGGGCCCCGGAACGAGCATCGAGACGCTTGGGGCCCCGGAACGAGCATCGAGACGCGTGGTGGGTTTGTCTGGGAGTCTCGCGGACCAGTCCGCAACTGATTGCCCCCTCCGTGGCACGGTGTTAAGTGGCGTTGGCTGCGTACGGCGCGAAAGAAGTTAAACATTCATACATATACGCACGGACATTCATTATATATGCACACAATTAGCTACAGGAGTGCCATTGTGGTCATGCATCCCAAACTATGGACCGTATTGTACTCCCAATAGAGACTCGGAGAGATGCATAGAGGACCCATAGATGTGCATTAAAGACAAGCCACAGTAATGTTTTGGGCATGCAACCCACGCTTTGAACCGTATAGTAAACCACTGCCAGTCTACGCAGCTTCAACAGAGTAGTAGCAGAACCACACGAACTTTCTCTCCTGAAGTCCTCTCGTGGCTCGCAGACCTCGACATTTCCATCCTGAACGTATTGCTACACACAATAATATAAAAACGTCAACACGTTCGTCAAAAACTGTAGCCTTAAATAGCGACGTTTCAGGCAACGGCTCTTCGTAGCACATTTGTGTTCACATTTTAGGATCCATTGCATGAAACAATGCCCAACTAGTTTGTGTAGATGCATTATGCTTTACAAGGCAGGGTTAGTGACGTTGAGTTGTGTTTGGTTATACGTATGCAACACTGAAAATTACGCGTACCCTAACTGCTAAAACATTCCAGTTTTGTAAAACGTAAATACTTCTTTTGAAAAAGTAAAGTCATTCTCGTGTACCCATCACACACAGTACGCTCTCTGTACGCCCACGTTTTTATGAGTAGGTGCCATAACGCACTGATGTTTTCATCGTCAGATGAATTGGGTGACAACGCTTTTACGAATGTTTTATTAACATGCCAATACAGTACTTTAATAGCTGAAATGATAGATCTGAGCCGTTAAAATTGGTACGCAGCGGAGCCGACTTATTTAGCCCCGTGGGCGAGAAAAGAACTCGTTAAAACACGAGGTGCTAAAACTTTAGTCTTACCCAAAAAATTATGGCCAATGCAAACTGAGTTATGAGACAGCTAAATAATTTCACCAAAAGAATCTTCGCTAATTTCAATCCCGCCTGAAATCGACACACCACTGCATTTGCACACATCGAGTGGGAGGGTTGTTGGGTCGTCCTGGCCCTGGGACTCTGGGACTCAGGGTTGGAGATGAGTCCCAGCCGCCCTGTGACTGACCCCTGACCTGGTGTGACCCCGGACTGTGACCCGTGCGACTCTGGGACTCAGGGTTGGAGATGAGTCCCAGCCGCCCTGTGACTAACCCCTGACCTGGTGTGACCCTGGACTGTGACCCGTGCGACTTTGGGACTCAGGGTTGGAGATGAGTCCCAGCCGCCCTGTGACTGACCCCTGACCTGGTGTGACCCCGCTGTGCCTGGCCCACCACTCCCACATCTCTACGGACTGTGACCCGTGCGATACTCGTGATCTCTTATCTCCTGCGTGTCCCTGCATCTTTTAAACTATGGACCATATAGTTATTAACCCGTCGAGACTCACAGAGATGCATAGAGACTCCCTGCATCTTACAGACGCTCTTGTGTAATGTTGTTGACGGTTAAACCTCGAAATTTGAAACTTTTTTTTATTTGACCAGGTAAGGCCCACTTGAGCTATGTAGCTCTTTGTTCAGAAGCGACCTGGCCACAAATGATAGCTCAACGAAGTGGCTTATCAAGTGGAAACTTATTGCAGACAAATAAATACTATGAACCCGTGTTCATTATAAATGTGGTGGCAAAAAGCCTGAGGACCCGGATAAAAAAAATCCACACGACCCTGGGGAGAGAGACACGCAAACTCCAAATATACAGCAGCAGGCGTCAGGGTCGGGATCGAACTCGACGACCTCCTGTATACCAGGCGAGGTAGTTAACATCTCATAGCCACCGTGATGATGATGATGAGAGAGACGCAAACTCCAAATATACAGCAGCAGGCACTGTCAGGGTCAGGATCGAACTCGATGACCTCCTGTACACCAGGCGAGGTAGTGAACATCTCATAGCCACCGTGATGATGATGATGATGAGAGAGAGACGAAAACTCCAAATATACAGCAGCAGGCACTGTCAGGGTCAGGAACGAACTCGACGACCTCCTGTACACCAGGCGAGGTAGTGAACATCTCAGCCACCGTGATGATGATGATGAGAGAGAGACGCAAACTCCAAATATACAGCAGCAGGCACTGTCAGGGTCGTGGATCGAGCCCACGACCTCCTGTATACCTGGCGATGTAGTCAACATCTCATAGCCACATTAGAGGGCCTCCTGCCCCTACATTTAATAACACGCCCCCCACCGCCTCCCCCGCCACTTTTCACCATCACGTATGCAGAGCGCCACTGAGCCGCTTGTGTTTATTGAGATAGTTGTTGTTGTTGTTGCTGCTGTATGTTGTTGTTGGTTAGTTGTTGTTGAAGGTAAAAACCTCCAGACTGCAATTCCTCAATGGGGAGCGACCAGGCCAGGGGGAGGGGGGAGGGGTGAGCACCCCCCCCCCCCAAAGCCCCCCACCCCACGCGCATTACCGCTCAGCCATTGGCCGCTCGTTGCCCTCGCGCGACCGCGGCTTGGACCAATCAGCCGCTCGCGCCGGCGGCTCGCGCCAGCGCAACAGCCAATCGTGGAGCCGTACTCGCTCACGCCCCACCCCCCCCACCTCGTGGCCCCGCCCCCCCCCGGCCCCCACTCATTCGTGCGTGGAGCAGTCGCCCACGTGCGTCTCTCGTGGTCATCCTCGAGCTTTGCTTTTGACCGCGGGTGGACATCGCTCGCTCGACCTTCACTCGCCGCGTGCATTCTGTTGACACAGAACAGGGTAGGGGGGTGTTCAGAGCCGTGCGATAGCCACTACACCTCCACAACACTCGCACGCACACCCCCATAAGTTAACGGCGACATTACCAGACGCGTCTGATTTCGGCTGCAGGGACTATCGCTGTTAGCGAGCACCTATTAAGGTAAGCCTACGGCGCACGGAAGGCGTCTCTAAAGTGTCGTGGGCGAAGGAGGGTCGCGCACTTCGGGCGAGGAATGAAGGAGGAGGTCGCGTGGAGCGGGAAGGATCAAGGGAAGGATCAATGGAAGGATCCACAGCGCAAGGTGGTGATGGTGACGGGTGCCAACAGGTACGGGACACGTGCTGAGGAGGGTTGCTGTGGTAACCGCACAGGCCACGACAACAATAGGCGACGTTTCGGGCAATGTACCTGCCCCTTTTTGGTCCTTTTAACGCCAGTGTTAACAATGTGTTGCGTTTTTTAATCGTTTAACATTGGCCATCGATTATTATTACTATGCTTGCATCGATTGTATGTGATGCCTGTGCTATGAAGGGATACTGCCGGAAAAGTCGCCTATTAGATATTTTCCTTTACAAATGCGTTTTTTTTTTCTCTCGCTGTATTCTGTCATGATAATTTAGACAGACACGCGCGCACAATATACACTCGTGTCCCTTTAAATACAAGTACCGTAACGTACATGGGTCGTCGTAATCTTGAAACTACGTATCAGTAGTTTGATCAATTTGATGGCTTGTTTATGGAACGAGTCGATGCGTTGACACGCGCAGGAGACGCACTGCACCCGTCATCCCAGTGCGGATGAAGAGTTGGTCTGGAGTGCATCCAACCTCGTGGCATCTTGCCAGAGTGTGTCTCCCGTCATAACGCAATCGGACGAGAATTTTATTTTTCTGAATAGCAGGCCTATTTGTTAGACAAACTCTGGCTTTGTCAAAGCCACCTTAAGTATTGATGAGTACCCACATCTTTAAGTGTCTGACATGTACGTCCGGCATGGGATTACCCTTAATGTGAAATAGTTTTGATTTAAATAAACTGAGTATAGAAAATCTAACTTATTTTTTTCTAAATTTTTAACTTTTATCCTGGAAGTCATGGCAAACTAACAACAATAATAATATATCATTGCAATTTGCAATGCACACTCCCATAGAGACAATAACTCAAAAGGTGCGAGAAACTACAGATTAGTAGGAAGGCAGCCACCTTGATCAACAATTCCCCAAGCTCTGAGCTCCTCTGTACATTAAGTTGTTATCGGCCAATTAATAAGTGTTTAAATGTGGGAGGAAACTGAAGCACCCAGAGAAAACCCATACGTGCGAAGGGGAAACACTCTATCCCATACAGAAGGAACACACCGATTAGCACGGTTGCTATGTACTGTGCGAAAGAATTTCGATTTAAAGCTTTCGTGACTGCAGGGATTCATCTTCTTGGTTCTTTCGGTAAAGTCACGTAGAATGGAAATAATAAAATAATAAAAATAAAACATAAAATAATTCTCACAACGTTTCGGCCACAACGCAAGCAGCCGTCCTCAGGTGGAGAGCAGGTCTGTCGAGTAGACAGAGTCTGAATATCTGTCTACTCTGTCTACTCGACAGACCTGCTCTCCACCTGAGGACGGCTGCTTGCGTTGTGGCCGAAACGTCGTGAGAATTGTTTTATTATGTTTTATTTGTATTATTTTATTATTTCCATTCTACGTTACTTTACCGAAAGAACCAAGAAGATGTGCGAAA